TGCTCAAAAGCAAGTCCAACTAAACCACTATACAAACTCTTTAATTATTTACTGTGATAGAGCCTGTGACAGAGCTTGGGCCACCTGTGAGTAGTACAGGGTCATCTACCCACATCTAATAAGCAAACGTTTCCACGCTTCGCTTTCCTTTTTTTTCAAGCGAAGATGAGATTAGACAAGGCCCAACTAACCTCGTTTTCACGTTTATCGCTCCCAGTCTCTTCTCGTTATGCATAGGGTGTATATGTCCGTGTTAAAACACACGAAAGGACTCTAAAGCACACTTCACTCTGATTGGGCAGAAAAACACAAAGATTTTCTTGCACCAATCAGATGGCAGAACGACTGCGTCCGTTTGGAACTACCTTACCATAGGAAATGAACAATGCATGTAATGAACGCGAATTTCAAAAATTCGCGTTAATTTTATGTATCTTAATTTACCTAATTATTAATTAAAATGAAGTTAATTTGAAAGCATCGTTATTTAAAGACACCTTTATTAGAAGCAAAGCTACAATTCCTCTACGTCACCGTCAGAGTCGGTTGACTCATCGTCGTTTAATATTAAGTTCAAAATGTCCTTAGATTCATCAGTGTAGCGATCGTCTTCTCCGAGGGGATAACTCACTTCAACTTTCTTGCGCAAAATGTCTATCGCATTTTTGTCATCCCATTTCACAGTCACCGCAATAGGTATTTCTAATCCACCTTGAACAAGTGGAGATGGCTTATATTTTATCGCTGTGACCTCTCCTTTAATGACTGTTTCTCTCTGCAGTGCGTGCCAAATATATCGGCTCAATTCTACTGGAATATGTGCGACAGTAGAAGAAAATATGGTTCCTGGCAATATTGTTTGCCCAGCAACTGCAAACCGGTCGTGTTTATTGTCTTTCTCTTGCTTGAACGTGAGCTGTTGCTTTAAGGTTTCCAGCTTGTACGATACACGTGATAGCCTCTCGAAGCAGTGTTGAATTTCAATGTGGGAATAATTATGCAACATACCGCACGGAAATTCGCGTTAATTAAATGCATGTAAACATAACTTTTGGAAAATTCGCATTAATTCTATGACGCGTAAATTTTGTTCGCGTTACTAACATGCTTCGTTATATTCCTATATCAAGGTACGGTGGCCCGGAAGGCTCAACGCAAACAAAAAAATATACTGCAGCAAATAAAAAATGTACTGCAGCAAATAAAAAAAATCAAAACGCAAAGAAAAAAAGTACCGCAGCAAATAAAAAATGCAACGCAAACAAAACATACTGCAGCAAATAAAATATGCAACGCAAGCAAAAAAAAGAAAACGCAAACAAAATAAATTGGAACGCAACGCCAAGGAAGACTGAGTAATAGTTCTTAGTTTCCCGCCAAAACAGCATGAACTGGAACTCGTTTTTGGTTATGGACGAAAGCGATCTGCGTAGGATTATAGAAGATTACTTTCATCAAGGGTATGAAAATAAAGTTATTATCGAACTTTTAAAGGAGCAGCATGGTACTGTCATAAGTTCGCTGCAAAACATGGTTTCGGAAAGGCGAACAAGCAAAGGATGGAACGAGTGTTGGCGGGAAACTAAGAACTATTACCCAGTCTTCCTTGGCGTTGCGTTCCAATTTTTTTTGTTTGCGTTTTCTTTTTTTTGTTTGCGTTACATATTTTATTTGCTGCAGTATTTTTTGTTTGCGTTGCATTTTTTTATTTGCTGCGGTACTTTTTTTCTTTGCGTTTTGATCTTCTTTATTTGCTGCAGTATATTATTTTTGCTGCAGTATATTTTTTATTTGTTGCAGTATATTTTTTGTTTGCGTTGAGCCTTCTGGGCCACCGTAGACTTGGAATAGCACAAAAATAGCACTGACGCTACTAAACAAAAGCGTGAGGCAGGTACTTTATTAACCCTAAGAAAGTAAAAGGAAGCTT